TGCATAGGACACATACACTAAGTCGTCATTCTTCCAAACTTACTTTGTTCATTTAAGTAACATTAACTTGGTTGGATAGACAAAGCTAAGGCTGCTAATTCTCATAGCCTTCAGGTACCGTTCACGATTTCATAAGGAAACACAGTTCATAATGTATGTATGAAACCTAAAACTGGGCACGATAATTTATTATTAGATGCATTATACGGTGAAGCAGTATTTTTTTACTAACTGGATGACGTCTCGAACACAAAACATTGTCCGTATTCATATGATACATAGTTCTGTTCTCAGTTCAGGTCCGCAAATAATATTTAAAGGTTGATCCTTTTGAACTTTAGATTTATTTTATTCAGGATCGATTACAGTAACTCGGATATATCAATCTCCATTTCACTGTGACTCATGTGTTTCAGGCACTCAACTTTCAACCAGTGACTACAGTGTTCGAATCTCTTCACCTGTTATTTCAGTGTGTGTACCGCTGTGTACCAACCACATTAAGTGATTCACAAATCTATTCCATGTAACTGGGATCAAACAACCAATTAATTTAAACACTAATCACTTATTCAGATTGTAATAACTTATTTCCCAAATAAATAAACTATGTAATATAAATTATTAGTTTCGGTGAATTTGACTCTGTCAAACATAAAACATAATGACTAGAGTTCTAAGATATATGTAATATTTTGCAAATCTTGTGAAGTGATCATATATATATAAAATATATATATATATATATATATATATATGCACAGGTCCTAATATACCATTGCTGTCTCGTCTACTCCCCAATATAGATAAATAATCGGTTAGGCGGGAGGGTGATACTACCTATCTACCTTAATTCTGTTCTCTTCTCGTATAAAAATATATACTGAACAAAGGAACTATACTTTTGATGCGATTTCAGTGTTCCTTTTTATCGGTATTGTAAGCTAAGCAACGCCAATTCTTGTACAACTAAGGCGTACAAGTACACATACACATAAGTAAATTGACATTTAATTTGGAAAATTATCTTTATTTTATTATTATTATTCTTTTTATTCCCTTTATATTCTCTAACGGACCTTTATTGTCCTTTCCATTAAAAGGGCTTCATTTAAACAATGATGTGTATTCCCTTGTAAACATATAATTCACTTAAATGCCTATCACATAACCCCATTATATATTATTAATTATTCTAAGAATCTATCTAAAACAACGATGAATGCATGGGATGGAATACAGTATATATATATATATATATATATATATATATATATATATATATATATATATATATATATATATATATATATATATATATACAGACACGCGAATACAAATTACCGCCGCCATACAACATGATAGTCTAAACAAAAATGTAGACAATGATAATTTCATTGTCTGTAAAATATATTTCATGTACATTTATTTATAATATACTACATATATTAATTATATCAGTAGGACATTAGAAACCGATTCAAATGATATCAGTATTTCTCCTCCTCGAATATTATCTGTATTCTGCAACCTTTGATTATTAATCAGTCAGTGTGATTTCTTCTAATCCCCTGTTTACTGTGATTGGAAAAGACGAAAAGAGAGAAGACTGATATGTATACCTGTGTGTGTGTGTGTGTGGAAAGCGATTATTCCTGTGTTTTTAAGTGAGATAGCAGGTATTTGCGGCTTAGACTTGTGAAGAGCATACTTAAATATGAACCTGATGCTCACTAGTGACCAGCCCTATTCAGGTAGGTGGGTACCTCGGTTTTAGTGAGAAGTTGCAACCACCACCAGGATGGGTTTGAGAATAAATATTCACCTCGGATGACCATTGGCTAGTGCCAGTCGCGTTATATTGTAAATTGGCAGAAGTTGGAATACATGAGCCACTGAATCGTATCCCAGTGGCTTCATGGTCCACGAGTTCGATTTGTAACGGGAAGGTCCTGGATTCGAACCTCTGTGGTGGGTGCATGCTGATGAAGAGTCCGAAAATAAGACGAAACAACTGCCCATTTCCCTCAGCATGTTTTCTAATGGCTCTTTAACCGATATCAGCTCATGACAAAGTCTTGTAACCAATCAAATCCCAGCAAACCAACACTTGAATACTTATACGTAGTAGGCATTTCATACTGAAGCAAGTGCTGAAGATGTCTAAAAGTGCAATTCAAACTTGATCATTAAATCTCCCTGCCTCGAACTGTAAATCATCTCCATCGTTTCGAAGTTCACTTTCCAACTGTTCTCCCCTGGTAATTTGGTTGTTGTTGTTTTTTTTTCTTGTAAGCTGATATACACCTATGATTGCTTGTTTGCTTGCTTCTTTGGGTTAACACTCTTGTTTGTGATGATAAATAATTCTCTGGTAGCAATCAATACAACTTATTGCTTACCGTATCATCTACTACTGTATACAAAAATATTTTTCATTGAAGGTAGGCTTTATATTGTTTATTATTATTATCTCGATGTATACAATGGGTGTGTCTAACGGTCGACTTTATAAAATTCGTAACTAAATTCTGTCATGGATCTCTGCAGTTACGTTTATACGTTTTATATTTATGTAGACCTACCTTCACGTTAGTTTAGTTGTGTGTTTTTTTGTTGTTGTTATGCTTCTCCTCCTTATGAGGAAAAAGTGAATTTTGCATCTTTTTTCGCCTCTTGAAAACCAACCTAGTCTTCCTGTCAATACTTTGATATCAGCTTAAATTATTAGTAATAGGGTCGTCCATGATCATATGTGTTTGCATTCTATCTCATTATATATATGGCAATATTTTCGGTAATATTATGTCTATGCGTAGAGTATCTGCTACGAAGGGAAAGCCAATCGGTGAGTTTGGGAAACTAGAATCGATTGAGATAGTTAGAACACGCGTGTTGCTCATGTCGAGTCATCTCGCTTCTCGACTGGCAATGTTAGACGATAAAGCATAAGACTGGCAAAGATTTAGAGGTACTCTAACTAAAAGCCATTGACTAAGTTGGCTAGAGTCATTGAGACTCCAAGAACACAAGTGTTTGCATTTGGAGACTGTTGGTAATATATGACGTGGATATGCATTCACTCTTTGTGATGTTCTGGATCCGTTAAATTCTCGTTGTTAATTGTATTTTTCAGAACAAAATTGTATTTTTATTTTCTATACTCTTCGCTTTATTAAAGTTTTTTGCATTTCTCCCTTATCTCTTCTCTTTTTTTTGTGGTAACTTAAGCTTCTGCATTTATGTACAGATTTCTGTTTTAAATGCATGATTGATGCATCCACAGGATGAAGGTAATGATATCAATTAATTATGTTGTGACGACTAACATTCATTCGACTGAATTCAACACAACTGAAAACAAGACTGAGTGTTGACTTGGTCTTATGACAATGTTTGAAGTTTGACCACGGATCGAAAACAACCAGGGAGCACTAGACAGTTATCTCTCCTTAGGTGTCACAGGGGGATGCTCTCGATCATAAGTAAACACAGATACCTACCGATGATATTGGCTGGTTTTCGTGGTAAACTCACTAATTGGTAGAAGTTATAATTCATGGGATAGCCATTGAGTAGTGGCTGAACGGTCTATGCGATTGATTTATAACTGAAAGGTTGTGCGTACGAACCTGTGTTGAGTGCGTACTACCAATGAATGTCAAACTAGGATCAACAGCTGACCAATTACTCCCTGTTGGTTTTCACTGGTTCTCTAAGTGATATCGATCCCTAGTCAAACTCTTGAAGTCGCTAAGCCAGAATAATTCCCGTCAACTTTCTAACTCCCAACTTGAAAGTATCCTTAACTGAACGTAACGACTTAGGAATCGACTTGTTACCAAGGAATAGTCTTATGGACTTAGAATATGCAGATGACATAGTCCTGTTAGGGGAAGATGCTGACAAAATGCAGAGTCTTCTGAACACCTTGAGCAGCAATCTTCGTATGTTTGGCATGCGATTCGCCCCTGCAAAATGTAAGATGCTGCTACAGGACTGGACTACGTCAACTCCTAGCTTAGTGATAGGGAGTGAAGTGATAGAACATGTTGACCACTTCACCTATTTGGGAAGTTGTATCAGCACCAACGGACTGATTGGCGACGAAATCTCGGCACGGATCCGAAAAGCTCGAGCTGCTTTCGCTGACTTACACCACCTCTGGCGTATGCGTGACATTCGGCTATCAACCAAGGGACGTGTGTACTGCTCAGCAGTTCGCTCCGTCCTTCTCTATGGCTCTGAAGCATGGCCAATACGCGTTAAAGACATGAAAAGGTTGACTGCTTTCAATCATAGATGTCTGCGATCCCTGTCTCACGTTAGGTGGTTTAACAAGGTAAGTAATGTTGACGTTAGGCGTAGAGTGTTGGGCAAAGAGGGAAAATCAATCGACGAGGTTATAAAGTTACACAGATTGAGATGGCTAGGTCACGTGCTCCGCATCCCTAACCATCGCCTACCCTGACGGGCATTACTAGCTGATGTAGGTGGTGCAGGTTGGAAAAGGATAAGTGGTGGCCAAACAAAAACATGGCCTCATCAATCCATGAAATTCTTGACAGTTAAGCTGAGTCAGGTGGGGAGATGCAGACTTCGGGGTTGGGGCCCTCGGGACTCTAGGAATCAATGGCCGGAGACAATAGGTGACATGGCTCAAAATCGTTGTCAATGGCGCAGATGTATTCAGCCTCTGTAATCTTTCATATTCCTTTCTACCATTACCCATTCTGTTTCCCTCTTATACTTGTCAGACTGTATTGGTTCTCTTCACTCATCTTCTTGTCTACTTCTGTGTGCTATTTGGAATGTGGCAACTCGAACTGCTGCACTTCGGTGCCAAGTTCTATGTTGAATCCAGACAGACATACAGAACTCCCAACTCAAGACCATCTTTTATGTAAAGTCTCAGTTTTTCTAATGTTTTAAAAATCAACATATCAATTTATTGTTAAAATATGTTTGTTTTTGTTTCTTCATTATTTTTTTATCTATAGAAATTTTTCATGCGGCATACAGCTGCGAGATTACGTAATTCTGAGATGGGATCAACAGTCACCGAGTCGATATGTCCAATGGGTGGAAGATGTCGAGTTGAAGGTCCTGGCCGTGGTAAATGCCCACATTGTCGATATCGAAAATGCTTAGACTTGGGAATGACCCTAACACGTAAGTTCTCGGTGAATGTTTTTTGTCATAATATTCCACTACTCTCTTTGTGCTTCTTAACTCAGCTATCTGTTCTTATTTATACAATGTGTGGATGAGTATGTTCTAATATTCACCTGTATGTTGTGAAATTGCCTATAGGGAGGTTTCAGTATTTTTGAAATATAGTTTATTAGATGAAGAATATTTCTTTTGATAACTTTATTTTCAGGTTCTATAATTAGTCAGCTAGTAAATTCAATGTTTTTTACTGGTAAATATTTCTCTACACAGTTTAAATAAAGACGTGATCATAGCTGAGGTCTTGAATAGGTCTAATCTGGAGATCAACAGGGACGACTTTTAGCTTGTGTGGGTTTGGTTGTGTTTTCTGAACTGAGTGGTTTAATCCGATATTTTTCATTATTCTTCTGGACGACATCTACACAGTGCTTAGTTCAGTAACAGAATTGCGATTCAATCACCTAACTCAGTTTGAATAACCACACCAAAAAACCAGGTCCAAATTGGTTATAAGACTAGTAGTAAATCACTCATGGAGCATAGTTTCTCTTGTTATTACCACACTTTTAGAAGGATTTGAACATTGACTCCTAGCTTAAAGATAGGCAGGAGTGAAGTGGTAGAGCGTGTTGACCGTTGCATCAGCCAACACCAGCGGGTTGGTCGCTGATGAAATATCAGTATGCATACAGAATGCTCGTTTGGCATATGCCAGTTTACGCCGTCTCTGGCGTAGACGTGTTATCTGGATATCGACCAAAGGGCGTGTGTACTGCTCAGCAGTTCATTCTGTCCTCCTTTATGGCTGGAGGTGAGACGTGACCATTGATAGTGAAAGAAAGGAAAAGGCTAGTTGTCTTTGATTATAGGTGCCTGCGTTCTATCTCCTGTGTTGAATGATATATCAAGGTGAGTAATATTAAGATTGGATGTCGTTGAGTGGTAGGTAAAGAGTTAGGGAAAATCATTCGGCGACATTGTGAAGTTACACCGATTGAGATGGTTAGGACATGTGTTACTCATGCGTGCCTAGCCATCGCCTTCCTTAACTGATGGGCAATGTTAGCTGACATAGGATGGGTCAGGTTGAAAAAGACCTAGTGGTGGTCAAACCGAAGCATGACCTCATCAGTCAGTGAAATGCACACAAGTTAGTTTAGGCCATCCATGTAGGGAGGTGTAGACTGTGTGGGGGCTGGTTAGGGTCCTCGGGATGATAAGAACCAATGACGGCTTGAGACAGTTGTTAGTATGGCTCAAAGTCGTTTTACTGATGGCGCAGATGCATTCGTTCTTTATGATTTAAAGTATCCAATAAAGTCCTATTCTTCTTCCATATTACTATTCTTTTTGCCTGTTATATCTGTTTATTATATCTCTTTTGAATTTCTCTTTAATCTCTTCGCTTGCTTTGTATGCTAAATGGAGGGAGAGTGGCGACTGGAACTTCTGCACATCTGTGCGAAGTTCCATGTTAGAACAAGTGAATCAATCATCTGAACTTCGAATTCAAACTAGAAACATAATAGTAATTTCGATCAAACTTCTTAGATTCTGTGTCCATTATTCTTTATTTTATTCTTTTGCGCTCCTAGTGGAATATATGACTTCAGGCTTGAGCTTCAAAGTTTCAGTAGCTGTGGCTTTTTTCTGGGGCTAGCCTCACACTTAGACTTCCGTCTTTACCGGTTTAGCGATATCAAAGAGTACATCGACCAGCAATCGAACCCCGGACAACCTGAGATGCGGTTGGTGAGTATTATACCACTGAACCACCGATGGATAAACAACGTCTGATTAGTTACCACTTTGGTTTGTCCTAGTAATTAATTTAACCGATTGTTCTGTTTGGTTGTCAACAAATTTTCAAGAGTCAGCTTGTAGGGATTTGATTTGTTTCAAGTCTGACCACAGATTGATATCGGTTAGAGAATCTTTGAAAACCACCGAGCAGTAACTGTTTCATCCTAGTTTGGCACTCATTGGCAGTACGCAGCCGTCACAGGGTTTCCAACTCACAACCTTCCCGTTATAAGCTGCTGGCTTGTAGACCATCTAACTACCAGTACCCGACTCGATGGCCAGTACATGAATTATAACTTCTCCCAATCGTGGTTGTAGCATGACTGGCACCAATCAATGTCACTGTACTACCGATGATGGGACTAAACTGTTCTGTCCACTACTCCTTAATGGTTTTACGTGGTTCTCTAAATACTATCAATCCGTGGTCAAGCTTTTCAACAGATTAGCTGATTTCTTTCATCATCAACTTGTTGTTCGTGTGTGTCTGTGTGTTTATGTGTTTATGTGTCTACACTGGTCAGTAAGTGAGTGGTCTTAGTCAACTTTTGAAATCTCGGCGGTATTTTTAGCTTAGTTGGTTGTGTTTTGGTGGGAGATTGCATTCTGTGTCTCATTCATTGTCTCCTTCTAGACCAACATTGAACAGCGCTGATTTAAGTTTGAAGCTGTTGACCAGAGAAGCAATAACAGTCTTGCGATTAAATCCTTCAGCTCAGGGAATACCACCACAACAACAACAAAAACAACACCAAAAGTAGTAAAACCTTTTTAGATCGAAGTGAATTTTCAATTTCGACTGAATGCTAGTTAGATGAATACTTCAACATAGAGTGTGCCACACCTCCTGTAAAGATGTTTAAATATACATGACATAACTGATATACGTCTGCACATACACACACAGACGCGTACATATCTCTCTTTCAGTATAATCGCATATTATCCAACTTAACATTTCAGATTAGATCATAAACATTTTACTCTTACATTCCACTTTTGTTTTAATACTGTTTGTATTCAACTCTCTTTTTTTTGGCAAAATTTTCGGTGGGTTTTGTTGTGTGGGTTTTTTTGTAGCTATAGTAAAAAATATCACTTTTTGATATTTCCAGCAGTAAACTCTTCATGTTCCTAGTTTTTTAAAAAAAAGAGTGTCTGATGCCTATTTATAGATGTATATATATACTGCTTTTACATCAATCAAATATTTCGCTGTTTTCCACATGCGAAACAAATGTCAATGCATATTATATATATATATATATATATATATATATATATATATATATATATATACGTGCTGCTACAGTGTTGTGTAAGCCTTGCGATTTCAACACATTCCATTAAGATTTTTTACTAGATTTATTATTATTTTCATGTTTTCGTGTTTTTTCGCCCGTTAATACCTTTAATGTAATCTAAATAGATTTTTCAAAAAAAAAGAATTCGGTAACTACTCAAAGAGTGTGTATGTAATCGGTGATGATGATGATGACAACGACGACGACCTCGACTACTCGTTTATCGATGGAAAATACACTCACATCACCGCTGAATTACAGCCCCAAGGCATGCTTGTGGTCTGGTTGCTATGCTAGTGTTTGAAGTCCATTAAATCGAGCACAACTTCCATCGAGGTTTTTCAGTTTACCAAAGAAAAAAAAAAGCTGAATATTTATTTAGTGATGTGTGTGTACTCTATTCGTTTGGAATGTTATCATCAGATTCATGTTCAACTTTAAATTCACCCTTGTGATCACGTGTCATGATGTGTTAACATGAATCAACATGATTTTCTTTCTTCCATTGTTTATCTCTCCCTGTTTCTGTGTTTGTGTGTGCGTGCACGCATCTTAATTTTGCTTACACTATAATTTACTATACTAGTGACATCAAAGCATTGGAGATTGAGGTGCTGGGAGCTAGATTCAAGTCTCAGTGGAAACACTACCACTCACAAAATCCTAAATGAAATAAAACTCGCCTCCAGGGTTTCACCACTAGCCACCACCGCCATCACCCACTAACTAGTATCATGTGGAAAGGTTTTTTTTTACTTGATGTGGTATGCGAGAAAATGGATATATACACAGAGAAAGAGAAGAAAAGGCAACTAGGATTACTATTTGGAGATCATTCATCCCAGAGAAAGAGGTAAACAGAAGCATATATATATATATATATATATATATATATATATGTATATACATTCGCACGGCATTGAAATCATCTAAGAAAATGTTGAGAATCACTGAAGTTGCGTAGAATAGTTTCATGGCTGTCTTTTAGAAAAAAAAATACATAATAAGCATTTTTGAGAAAGATAGAGAACAACAAACAATGAATTAAATGTGTTGCTTGGATGAGTTACTATAATCTCTGCTTAATTGTTTAATAATTCTTCAGTTACACAATGGCATGCTTAAGTTAGCAAGAAGTCACACTTCAATAAGGTTAGCATTGTTTAAAAGAACTTTTAAAAGACACTTCCTTCGACTTACTTCCTTTCTTCTACTCGCTTTTCACTCTATAAAATAATAATAATTATTATGCAGTGTAAAACCTCCTCCTTTAAAAGGAGTACTGTTAAATTTCTTCAAGTCATCAACTTTTGCTGTTTTTGAAAAATTTAGATACACATCCATTTACTTTCGTGAAAACACACGCACACAAAATATATATATATATATATATATATATATATATATATATATATATATATATATATATATAAACATACAACAAGGAGTTAATTGACAAATAGAACTTGACATAAATTTCCACTGTCACTTTTAGAATATGTGTATTAATGTGTGTTTGTGTTGTAAAGTTTTACTTAATTTATGTGAAATGATTAGAATACTTCTCCGACATTGTATGCAGATAAATATCCTCCTTCTCATTCTTTCCCACCTCTTTGTTTTTCTAATGCAGACATAAAAGTAAAACGACAAACTTACATATTTAACCGTACAGTTTTAGGCGGGAGTTTTCCTATTCGCCTTCATTTACCTCGTATTCTTAAAATATCCTTCAAAAATTTCGTTTAACACCAAGAGGTTCACCAGTGAATGCTTCATTTGAAGAGATTAAAATAATAAAATTGTTTTTAAAGTTGTTAACCGTTTAAATTATACATATATGTATATTACTCACTGTTTTCTATTTCTTCACATTCCGAGTAGCACACA